ATTACATATTTTATTATATATGTGCAAACATTAAGAGCATCATTACATATTTTATTTAATAAAGTTGAAAAAAAGAATATTTAATTATATAAAATAGTTTAGATAATACTAAATTAGTTTATAAAAGAATTAGAAGCCATATTGAATAATTGAAATCTTTTTTAGTGTTTAAGAATCCATAGAGTAACTTATATAAAATTATTATTAAAATTTATAAATTATTTTTGATTATTTATATTTTCTAATTCTAATGCCATTACATTAAAATTAATATCTTTATTTAATAAACCTTCTTTATCAGATAAAATTTTACTAAAATCTTTACTTACAACTTTATATATTAGCAAATTTAGTTAATTGAACCTTTTTTGTGATTTCTAAATATCAACATATTTATTAAATTGGTAATCCTTCAAATTATTAATATTACACTATTTTGTAATTATCTAATTTCAGATGACCCCAAAAAATGAACAATATGCATTCTAAATATAATACTTCTAATAGTCTACTTACCTGGAACCTATCTTTCTTAGTAAAAATCTATTTTTTAAATAAATCAGATTTGGCTCTTAAGCCTTTTACTTAAGTAATATTTTAGTTAGATTTTAGCTTTACCAAGGTGTAGTAATTAAAATAATCAGGTTTAGCATTGCCTTCATGGGTAATAAGATTACAATAATTTTTACCATTTTGTATATAAGTAGTTAAAAATTTTATTAGTAGTAATGATTATAAACTTAGCTAATATATTTATAATTAATTTAAAACATTCCTATTATAGTAGATTTTAAATACTTTTATCAGATCTTTATAAAAAATCTTTATCTAAAAAATGTTATATTTAGAGCATTAAATATATTGTATATATTACATATTTGAGATCAAAAGAAGGTATAAATTTAAAAGAAATTTAGAAAAGCTGCATTTAATGAAACTTAAGTATTGACTGTATGTAAATAGGTATGAATTTTATAAATATATTTAAATTAGTTAAAAAAATAAAAATTGGTATCTACTATATAGTAACTTAGTAATATACTTTTAATTTAGTATATAAATGAGCAATATTATGCTATCAACTACATCTACTTTGTTTTTGCTTTGTGTTTATTGTATTCAAAAAGTTTTAAAAATCAATATGGTTTGTGAATACATGAAGATTGTATACAATATTTTGTTCTTGATCAAGTTACTACCTCTTCAGTTACATGTGTCTTCTGTTTATTATGTTCACCAAAAACTTACAAAAATAAGCTGAGTCTTGAAAAATATAAACAGTTTATTTATTTTAATTATAACATATTACATACTGAAGTTGCTATTTTGCTATCTTCTGCTATTTATAAGTTTAAAAAAATGTTAGTATATTTAATTCAAATGAAGTTCTCTAATAATTGTAATTTTATAGAAAAACAATATGTAACTGCTTTATATACAAAAAGTCAATTTGTTGCAGTATTCAAAAAGCATTTAAAATGTTATATTTCTAGTAAAGAATTACAGTCATATCTGAGTTATATCTCAGATAATATAATATAAATAATAACATTAGATCAAACAGAAATTAATAATTATAAATAATTTCTGACTATTTAACATATAGTATAGATTTAATAAACTGATTTTTGTATATCTTAAATTATGTGATTCTCATAATTGTGAATTATTCTAACTAATTTTTTAGTTGCAATCCTTACATATGTTTAAATTTAACATTTGCAAATTTATTTAATATGACAATTCAATTGCAGAAATCTATTTTACTATACCATTTAGCATTGTTATAGTTGCTTAGTTTACTTTACTTATGTTTTATTGGTCTAGATGCAATTGTAAATGCCAATGACATCTTTTCTTATTATAATCAATAATGATCTTTAAAATTTTATTTTACTAAATTGAAGATATCTCACAATCTAATAACTTGAATTTAATAATTTTTATATCGATTAATTCATCTCATTGAGATGAATTGAATGTTATAAAAATTGCCAAATTCCAACCATGGGTTCATAAAATATTAACAATAACCTAAACTCCAATTTCGCTTATATTTATTTTATTAAAAATTTGGTTTTCTTTACAAATTTATTATCTCTACTTAATCTAACTAATAAGGTATATTCTTTCAAATTATTTTTATATTGTATTTTAAGATGATAATAGTTAAAGTTTAGTAAACTAAAAATGATAATTTGTTATTATATAATTTTCTATATTTTAACAAATATAAAATGTGTTAACTCAATCTTTTATTCAGTTCTTTGGATAAACATTATTTGAGACTATTTGTGCATCTTTCATGAAGTATCAGGGCTTAGTTACATATTAATCTTTTTTTATTTTAATACTGAAATGCTTTCATGTACTTGAATTACAGATTCAACTACCTTAGATCTCCTATAAACATTATCTCTAATAAAATATTTTAAGTACTGTGATTATTTTTGGTTAATTTTAATAGAATAAAAGTATTCGAAAGTTCTTTTTATTATTTCTTTTTTAATTGAAAAATTATGGGAGTAAAAAGTACTTTAATATATATAAAAAAGTTAAAAAATTTTTTTACAATTATGCCAATCATTAAACTTGTTTACAGCTTATTTGAGTCACATGACTTATTTCAGCACTCAGGAATGCTAAAATACTATTACGTAGTATTTGGTAACAATGAATTTGATCACAAAGGCAATCACTATTTGTTTATATAAAAAGAATCTTATGATCTTTTTTTTTATCTCTTACTAACTAATAATTTTGGGTCAATAAAAATTACAAGAACAAGAAAATACAAATATACAAATACTACAACTAATATGTTTGACAAAAAGAGATTTGAACACTGCTTGGATACTTTTGCTATATTAATTTTAAAGTTTTGATACCAAGAGTTGTTTTTTATTTAAGAGAAAGTGTTGTCACCTTTATATATAATTTTTCATATATTATGATTTATGAATAACAATAATTTTTTAATATACTAACTAATTTGTCATTTCTTTATTTTACTTTCAAATTACTATTATCTATTCAATATTATGAAAATTAGGTTTTGTTGCAAATTGTAACTATTATTTAGATTCACAAAAATTTTTTATATTTTTCATGATTTTTGTGATTTTCATGATCCCAAGGATTACTAGGACTGCACTACTTTGAACCTGCAGCAACAACTGGGTACAATAACAATTTACTTTCTACAATATATATATGTATGTACATATGACCAAATGTACCTATTCAAAAAAATAGGAAAGAAAATACAATAGGCAGCAAGGCTTCAATAATAGGAAGTTTGAAGCTTAATTTAATAAATAAAATTAGTAAAATGAAGCAGTAAAAGTTATAAAAATAAAACTTATAGTGAAATCTAATGTCTCTAAAACAGAATAATCTAAATAAGAGAAAGCTAAAAAAAGAATATAGAAAATAGTTAGCACTGTTTTAAAAAAGCAATGCAATAATATATAAAGATAGACAATTTTAAAAAGTCTTATCTTTTGTAATCCTGAAAAGATCTTATTGGGCCAATAGAACTTAAATAGATAATTAAACAGTAAAGTTGAAAAAAGTAATGCTTGAAATCAAAAATAACTTTTCACAATTCAAGAAAGTAAAGTGTATGAAAATGTGATTATATAATTAGTTGAATTATGTATATATCAGTTAGATCAATAAACCTTATTATTTACAATATATGCATAGAGTCTATTGTAGCTTGGCATAATCATATTATCTAATTAATACCAATGCATTAAATATGTAATCATAGTTTGATGTTAAATCAAGTATGTAATCAATATATAAATAGAATAGGGAATTAGTAGATTGCCTTTCCCACAAATTAAAAATTAAATAAAAAAAGAAGTAAAATGTAGACTAGTTGGGGTGTAAAGAGAAGCTGTTATTAGTATAAGGTGTAACAGCAAATAATGTTCCTAAATAAGAAGTATAAAGAAGCCTACCAGTGCTGTATAGTCATTGAAGAATCAAAAAGTGCATGCAAAACTGTGTTGAATTGTAAGTAAAAAATGTTCATTTACTAACAATTAGTTTTCATTTCTTACTATTAAATATAAGATCTTATCTTTATGAATTTATAATATAACTCCTGATTTTAATTCAAATTTCATTGATAACATCATGCTACCTTTTGATTACAATCTTAAGTAATATAATATATTGCTTTTAACAAGTTATACAATTATTAATATTGCATTTAATGTTTGTACGACAAAAAAAATAATCAAACCTTGGGTTTATGCATTAATGCATTATACAAATTTAGATAAGGCAATTATAAACATATATGAAAAGATAAATCTTGAAATTGCTAGAAATACAAAATCTAAGAATAAATGCTTAAAGGCTTATATTAAATTGGAATAATACATATAATAACAATAAATAAAGCAACCAAAAAATTAATATATAGTATATTCTTCGTTAAAAAATTTTATTTATTCTTAAATAGTGAATCATAATATTCCTAATTTATATTAATTATTGAATAGCAAATAGAAATTTATAATTATATAATACATATAAAAATCAAAACTCTTTTATATTAAACAAAATTGGGTTTTAAAACTATCCATTAGTATTGCTTATCTTAATTCATTGCAAGATGTCTGTCGCTTAGTCTAGTGCTAGTAAAAAGTAAAAAGAAAAATCTGCTATCACTTTAGAAAAGAAAGTTAAGATTATTAAAAAGAAGGAAGAAAATGCAAAACTAAGTCATCAGGATTTGGCAAAACAATATAGTATTGGTAGGTCAACAGTAAGCTACATTTTACAAGATAAAGATAAATATCTTTAGTTATATGATATTATATTTTCTCATATGCAACAATATGTTCACATACAAAAGAAACAGTTTTATATTATTGATAAAGCTGTATTTAAGTTGTTTTTAAATTTTTGTTCTCAGAATGTTCCTATTTCTTAGAACATACTCAAAACCAAAGCACTTTTTATATATGAACAGCTTAAAGATGATGGTATAGAATTTTCTTCTATATTTGAGGCATCTAATAGTTGGGTGTTTGGATTTCAGTAATAATTTGGTATCAGTTCAAAGACCATATTAGGAGAAAGTGAATCAGCTGATAAGGTTGCAATCAAAAGTAGACAATATCATTTTCAAGAATTACTCAAGAATTATTATTCTGACAATATTTTTAATACAGATGAGACAGGTCTCTATTTTCATCTTGGGTCAGACAAAACACTTGCATCTAAAAGTAATGTTGCTAAAGGATTTAAAAAAGACAAGCAATGACTCACTATACTTTTTTGCTGTAATGCATCAGAAACATGAAAATTTAAACCATTTGTAATAGGTAAAAGTGCACATCTATAATGTATGAAAACTACCAATAATCTAAATTACCAATACATTATTCTAACAATAAAACTGCATAAATGACTAAAACAAAATAGAAAAATTGGTTGAAATGATTAGATAGTCAAGTCAATCAGCCAACTATTCTTTTAGCTGATAATTGTGCTGTACACTTAAGTCCCAAGTTGCAAAATATTAAGTTGGAATTTTTGTCACCATATACTATATCAGTTATTTAACCATATGATGTTAAGATTTATTAAAAATTTTAAAGCTAATTATCATAAATTATTAATAACAAAATGGATAAATGATATAGGAAAGGAAAGTCTTTTAAGCTAATTAATGTTAAGAAAGCTATTTATTTAATTTCTGATGCATGTAAACAAGTATTGCTCACAACAATTGTTAATTGTTAAAATAAAACAAAAATACTTCTATTAGAAATAGATTTACTAATAAAACAGGTAATAATAATATGAATAAGCTTGAAAATGTGTTAGAAGAACTAGAAATGTCATATAATTGTATTAAATTGTCAACAGAGGAATATGTAAATGTAGATGATAAATTACAAATAATAAATACATCAACTGAAGAATCTGTTGTTAGAGATATTCTCAAAGAGCAAGGTTTGATCAACAATGAAGATTCAGATAATGATAAGAAAGAGGAGAAAGAGGAAGTTAAAGATAAATGGATTTTATATAATGAGGAGAAAATGGCATTGGAAGTTGTGAAAAAGTATCTTAAGCAATCACAATTTGCTACAGAAGATGATATTTATTTGTTACAACAAATTATTAAAAAGGCAGAAAGTTTTTACTGATCTAGCCTTAAACAAACAACTATTAACAAATATTTTATTACTTAATAGAATAATACTGTATAAATTTGGTTTTTTTGGTTATGCTAAAATTAATTATTTAATATAAATAAAGGCATATAAAAAATATTATACAATTAAATAATATTGTGTTCTTAATTAGATGACTTTTTAGCAATCAGATAGTACATGTCTATTATAAGTAATTAGTTATTTTTATTTTAGACTGGAGTAGCAAACTCACTAAATTTGTCTTATCATAATAAAAACATGACCTATTGCTCAAAGCTTTGAAAATGTCTTTTATTATTTATGCAAAGTGATGATAGATCATATAATCAAAAAGTAAAGCAGTTACAGATTAAGCATTACATTAGATTTTATAATAAAAAAACTGATTAAAGGCTAAAAATCATATGCAAACAATGAAGTAGTGTATATCAGTGATGTACAAATAATAAAAATATTAAACAATGCAAGAATCAAGATATATATAACTAAACTAAATTGATTATATAGAGTTTTCTGTTATTGAACCTAAAAACAAGAGAATTTCTCAGAACCTAGAAGCTGATAATCATGTGGTCCTGCAATTTCTCTGTTTATATTTCTTTTCTCACATACTGTTTGCATTTTCTGCTCTTAGCTGCTCACAGCTGGTTCACTTTATAAGTAGAAAATTATTGGTTTATTAATTCTATAATAACTTCTAGCATAATCATTTTGCAAATTTCTTAAAATGTTCACTATTCTTGACCAATCTTAGTTAATTATTTACTTTCATGTTATATATATACTAATCTATATCAATTGCTTAAATAAAAATTACTTCTGACCTAGTAAATAATTTGCTAACTTAGCCCAAACAAGTATAGAATGTATAAAACAATACTTTTTATATTAATATTTTTTATATCAGACATATATTGTCATAAAGTATTCTCAAGCACTTTAATTAATTTGTCAGAATGGGTCTAAAAATAACTTTAATTGGTAAAAATGGTTCAATAGATCAATTGTATCAATATTTCAATGAATAAAAAATATGATAAAAGTTTAATATATCAAAAAGTAAAAACTTATTAGTGAAAGATCATTTAACTAATCAAGGATGTTTATTATTCCAGTCAACAAGAGATGAAAAGTTCACCAGATGAATACCAAAAGTTCAGATCAAATGACTAGCACCACAATCACAGCATATATAGTTCTCTACATAAAGTTAGATTGTGCTATCTTCTTAAAGCACAGATTATTCACAGACTAGTGCTGCAGCTATAACTTATTTAATAAGAAGGTGCATATAATTTAACCTTATATGAAAATCTATATATGCTGTGGTTGTAACGCTGATTATCTGATCCAGACTTTTGGTGATCACTCTGGCAAACTCGAGATGAAGGCTCAGAAGTCTTTTTTTCATAGAGTTGCACTTATTGGTTAAAATTTTTCATTTATTGATTAGAAAAAATAGTTGTTTAAATACTTCATTCTTTTTATATTATTATTATTATAGATCTTCAAAATTATTACCAACATCAACAAACTATTACCTTATTACTTAAGCTTATATTAAAATTGTCACAAATAAAAAAGGCACATTTTTCATGTTTAGTAATGTATAAAAAATATTATAATAAAGTTTATGGAAAATAGCATGATTAGTAATTAATTAAAAAGTCAAATATGAATAATTGAAGTATGATGTAATTAGAATAGTCAAAGTAAGTATATAAAAAAAAGTGTAAATAAAGAAACAAACATAATTTGAATAGAGATACATATCTGACTTAACTCTTTGGTGGTCAATATAGTATAGTATGCTTAACTTTTAAGTTGAAAGCCTCATGACACTAGCTAATCATAATGAGTGTGTTGCTTAAGAACATCTAATTGATTGCATAACATTAATTCTTTATTAATAAAATTCATAATTTGATTGGTTTAATGTTATATAACTAAATATGCCTATTTTTATCTGTACCTAAGTTATATCCCTACTCAAGTTATATCTCTAAAAACTTTTTGAAAAAAAAGGAAGAATATAACCCAAATATAACTGTAATTAAATTTGAATAAATAATCACATTTAATTACTTTTCAATATGACTTGACAAGTATTGTTGCACATAATATACAAATTTTAGTTGAAATTAATGAGCATGCCCAAAGAACCTACATATTTTTTTGATATCAGTAAGTCTACAACTAGGTCTGCAAATGTTTTAAATTATTATTAACACATAACTGATATATTTTGTAAACTGAAGATTCTCAAAATTTGATGATTTGATAAAACATTTTCACTAATGTCTATAATAAGTGAATGTAAATGAAAATGTTTATTTATTGTCTCAATAATAACTGGTTGTAAATCATTTAAGTAAAAATTAAAGTTATATTTTTTTGTACTTTTTTTGATAAATCTAATAAATAAGAATAAAATTCTTTATTAATAAAATTAAACATATTGTGGGCATTGTTTGAACTATAGAAGATTGTTTTTGGTAGTGTATTATCAGAAAGTCATTTTTTGATAGTTTTTTTTAAATGTCATAAACAAATTTGTATTTTCATATTTGGTCAAATTGATTGATTAGCAGATATTTAACTAAAGTCTTTATCTGTTAAAAAACAGTAATATTATTCATTCCAATTGTTTTAAGTTGTTGGAAAAAATATTTTAAAATATCTGTATATGCTCTATTGTCTTTCTTTTTACTATCAATAAATAGATAAACCATTGTAAATCCAGCTTTATTGAATTGTTCAATTATTGAATAAAGTTTAAAATTTAATAAATTTATTTGATTTTTAATTTAAAAATAATTAAATTAATAAAAGTAATATTGTATTATCAATTATTAATTTATTAGCTTTAAATTATACTTATACATTGCATCAACTATGATTTTCTTATTTTTTAATATAGCTTAAAAAATAGAGTTACAAATTCAAGATATTTAATATCTTCTATAATATTTTCTAATATGATTGAATACTTATATTCTTCAAGAAGAATTTTTATAGAATTTAGCTGATTATTATTACAAATAAATTTTTCTTTAATAAACTTATTCCACTATACATGCACTTGCTTTTGCATAAGATCAGAATAATTTAGTTCTAACTGTTTATAAATGTCACTTGGCATTAAATATATATTTTTTAACTTCTTCCTAAACTAAATTATCAACTTCAAATTGCTCTAGTTATTTATGCAAAAAATTATATTTAAGTCAAATTTTTGTAAAGTTGCTATTCATATTCATAAAAATAAAAAGTGTGCCTTCATATGAAAATCATTTTATATTATTATGATTTCTTTATTTTTCTAAATCTTCATATTTTTAAAATTTTTTTTTTAAATGTTTTGATGTTGAGAACAATAATACCAGAATGAATAACTTCTAGGAACTTTTTTTAAGTCATAACTTTCCTTATAATTATATAAATAATAATAAATAAATTATTTAATGCTGTATTATAAGTACAGCATATTTTAATATTATATACATACATGTAATTATATCTATTTTTTTGTTCAATAAGTTCAGCTATTTTCTTAGAAAGTTTATGAGAATTATTAGTAACTTCTAATTTCAATAAGCATAAAAATTCTATTCTCATATTGTCATTTTCTATATATTTATTAGGAGTGATAGTACAAATTTCATTATATAGTTTTGATGATAAATTTTCTAAAAGAACTATTTCTTCTTGATTGTCATTATTATTATTTTGATTATTATGATTATTTATAATTTTTTGTTTTTTATCTTATATATATATGAAAACTGCATGTGGCATATAGAATAAGAATTTAATTTATTTTTAAATTAACTTAAAAACATTGATTTTTTAAGTATTCAATGACATTTGGTGAACTTATATATGAACAAAATTATTTTTGATAAAAAAAAATTTTCGATCAAAATAAAATAAACTTTTGTTATATTATATTTAAATAAAATAGATTCTTTTTTTTAAACTCAGATAAAATTTATATTGAATTATTGTAAAAGCATATAATAATATATAAATATTTTTTTCAAAACTTGATGAAGAACATTCTTATACAAAAATATGAATAATGAACAATAACAACTTTTTTCAGACCAAGTAACATTAAACTTAACTATTAATCAAATACTACTCAATATACAAACCTCAGAATTCCTAGAATCTATATGATACAAAATTCAAAACAGTATTATAACTGCAGCTCTTCAACATATTCTTAACAAAAAATTTATGATCAGAAATTTTTAACACATTTTCTCTACAAAAGCTTCAAAATTACACTACTATCTCAAAAAACTTGGCAATATTATTCAATAAACTAAACATGCACTTCAATACTCAACACCTATTTTATTTTATCATAATCAACTCATTATCTATATTAATACATTTTGTAATCTCATTATTCCATTACTACCAGCTGAACATAATCTATTAACAGACTGGTTAGACTTAGCCAAAAATAAATGGAAAACATTATACCATACTCATAACATAGAAAATATCAAAGAGATTAAACAACAAATTGATAACAATATTACTAAAAGATGTA